CGTTTTTGCGGACTGTCTTTTGCATGATGTATGAGCAGTGTGACCGCGGCTAAAAAAGGGTACTCCAGCGTAGGGTGCCTTCATGTGCGCTTTGCTCAGGGTGGAGACATCTCGCCATTTTGTCCCACACATTTATTTTTCTTTTTTGTTCAAAAGCGCGTGAAAGAGCGTGTCCCTGCACGCGTTTGTGGCGCTGACTGTGCTATGGCGACATTTTGTTTTCGTCAATTTCTTTGTATTTTACCCGTGAGCGCGTGCTGTCGGCATCGGGTACTACAAAGGGTGGCATCACCCTTAACAGAAGGACATTGAGGCACCCTACTCCAGCGTTTTATTCCCAGTCCCCGGTTTGTCTAATAATTTACTAAACACACCAACAAACACCACTCAAATAGTAATGCAAATATTAGACTTTTTTGCGAAATTCTTCAATTTAAAATTTTCCCCTCACTGTGTTATTAAAAGTGAGTCTCTACTGGCAAGAACGGAAAAGTGATGTTAGCGGAAGGCAGGGATTCACTGTTTGGACTGTACACTTTGTTCCCAACTGATTACAATTAGTTTCTTAGTGTCAAATGAATGCTTTGTAAGTTCGCTCTAGAACCCGCGCAGCAGCACGAGACAAATGATCTGCATAGTCTATTTTTAGACTGCCCGTTCGAACTGCAAGCCTGCCTTCTCGTGACGTCACGGCACTAAAAAGTGCGGGTATATTTGCATGTTGGGTTTGGCATCTTTTTCACTTGCCGATTTTACATTGACTGTTCTGAATTTCGAGATACTAAATAGTGTAGTGCAAAGGGTAAAGACCGATGATTCCGAAAATACATAGTTGGGACAGCTCGAAAAATCGTCGGAGTACCCTTTAAGCAGAGACTGCAGTCAATTCCAGAAGCTCGAGGCCGCTGCTTTGAAGCGTACTTCCTCGGAACGAGCACTCGCGCTAGAAATGCACGCCTCAAAGCCAAGAGGGCGTTCTAGCTCGCGCTTGTAGCTTTGGCTGCGGTCTCAGCTTAAGGGTGAACAGAGTATAGTCACGAAGGAACTCGCCCTCATCGACACTTTAGCTTTCTCTCTCCCTTTCTCTTTCTTTCTTTTCTGCATTCTCAGTTACATATTTTATTGTGTCACTCTCACGACCATGTTTTGTTTTGTCACACCATTGTTTTTTACTCTCCTTCTCTCAATATCCGCCGCTCTATTCACTGGCTATAAATGCACCAGCCTGGGTAGGAAAAATAAAATAGGAGGCGGGGTAGCGATTTATTTAAGAGAAGACATTTCTTGCTATGTGTTAGATGAGTTTTTCGCTATTTTGGCAGACGTCGAGTTTATTCTTGTGGACACTAGAGGTGTTGTTATTTGTGTTGTTTATAGGCCACCGACTGAAGACAAATCTGAGACATCTGTTTTTATATCTTACTGTGAGGACTTGCTTGGGTTTCTTGGCTCAACAGCTAAGACATTCTTTATAATGGGTGATATAAAAATTGATTTACATAAAGAAGAAAAGCATGCGTTTCAATTACAAAATGTATTGTGTACCTTTAGATGTAATAATACGATTGCTCACCATGGTGACCTCAGATACGGCTACTTGTCTCGACGCATGTATAACTAATTTAAACACTCACGAGGTTTCTTCTGGCATTTCTACACACGACATAAGTGACCATTTACCTTATTTCAGTTTTGCACCATTCCTTAAAAAAAACAGTTACAGGGAAACAGACGAAGTTTCATTGAGAAAGTTGTGACCTAATCACTGCCCTCGATTTGAATAATGAATATGTTGAACACGACCCAAATATGACGTACGCCAGTTTTCTTAAGAAAACCTAAATTATGTTATGACACTGCCTTCCCACTTAAACTGATGAACAAAAGAAAAGATAGATTGCGCAAACCTTGGATGACCAATGAGTTATACGCTTGGTTTAAAGAAAGAAATTTAAAAAAAAAATACTATAGTTTTCTTAAAAGCAAAGATCAAGATATTTTAGCAGCCTACAAAAAGTACAGAAATAAACTAACATCTTATTTTAAAAATACAAAACATGATTATTATCAACGCCTATTTTTCCGCGTCCAGAATGAGCCCAGAAAATATGGGAAGCGGTAAATACCCTAAAAAACAATAGCAATCGCGCCACAGAAATACAAGCTGTGATTCTCGATGGCAAGCGTGTGAGCGGGTTGAACTTATCTAACGCAATGAACGAGCATTTTGTAAACGTTGGCAAGCGTACTGCAGATACGGGAGCATATTACGACACACCTAGCACGACTTCCGTAACAAACTCGATATTGTTATCACCAGTCACCCCAACTGTAAATAGTACTAATAACAAAAATAAAAAATACTGTAGCTCCTGGCATCGACGACCTTAAACCAGTTCCTATTAAATACGTTTCCCAAGATATTAGCAACGTCCTATCATTCATCATAAACTGCATGTTAGAAACAGGTATATTTAAGATAAGATACGATAAGTTTATTTGATCTGACCAACTTAAAAATGCCAAAGAAGGGGAGAATACTCACAAAATTTTAGACCGATTTCGGTCTCGCCTATATCATCTAAATTATTTGAGGGCGTTATACAAAGCAGAATAGACCAATTTATATCCAAGCACTATGTGATTAATAAATCACAATATGGATTTCAGAAAAGTAAATCTATGGAGCAAGGTCTCGTAGAAACAAAAGACAAAATAATACACAATAGCGAGAATAAACTATATACACTAGGAATTTTTTTAGACCTAAGCCAAGCATTTGACACTATACAACACGACATACTTTTCAGAAAATTACACACATATAAAATACGTGGAATAGCTTTGGCTCTCATGAAAAATTATATTCAAAATCGATTTCAATTTGTTAAAGTGAGTAACATTGTCTCAAGCACATTGGAAATGAAATGCGGTGTCCCACAAGGCTCCATCTTAGGTCCCCTTCTGTTTTGTTTTTTTTATATATATACATAAACGATATTACAGCGATCCCGGCATCTCATTGGCTTATCATGTATGCGGATGACACCAGCGTATTCTTCGCAGACTCATCCAAAGCCCAGTTACAACTCATGACAAATAGCTATCTTGCCAGCCTAGCTACATGGCTTCGAGCGAACAAGCTAAAATTATATACCAGAAAAACCACGTATATACTATTTCCACCTAAAAACAAACGCGACAGTACCAACATAGTTATACATTTTAAGTATGAAATTATACAACAAGCCCACGAACAAAACCTTTTGTGAATTTGGTTTAATCAAGATCTACACTGAAACACACACATGAATAAATTAAGTTCAGAGCTTTCACGGTCGGTGGGATGTCTATATAAAATAGGGAACCTTATACCAACATGGCTAAAAAAAAAAACTTGTATTATTCGCTCTTCTACTCTAGGCTTTACGATTGTCTTGTAGTGTGGGGTACAACATCGACCACAAACTATAACTCGTTGCTCACACTGCAGAAAAAAAAAATGCTGCGCCTACTTGAAAATTATAAGATTAAATTACAAGACCCCCACGCCGCACCACTTTTTAAAAAAAATATGGCATTCTCAAGGTCAATCAGATTTATGATTTTAAGTTATTACAACTGATTCACAAACAAAAACTGTATGTCACGGATATAAGTGACGTAACACATGCATACCCTCTTCGAAACGCACAAGAGCGGTCCCCTCAGACCCGTACAAATTATGGAACACAAACAATGAAATACCAAGTCACGAAACCTCTGAATAACATTAAAGACCACATAGACTTCAATAACTCTTTTAGTAAATTTAAAAAAGGAGCTCAGGACACTCACGGTAGGCAGTGGTAACCCCTTATTATCTGAATCCGTATGTAATAACTAGTTGTTTTTTTGTTGTTTTTTTTTGTAAATTTTTAAAATGAATGTTTTGTTTATAACTAAGCGTTAACTCTGTTAACTGTGTGCTGCTTGCTGGAAAGTGCTGCATTGGGGACAGAGACCTTGTCAGGCTTCACGCCTTTAGTCCTTGGGTGCTATGTTGCGCTTTTTGGACTCCCAGGAGACTAGGGAGAGGGAAGTGACGTCAACGACACAGCAAACGCAGATTGGGTGTTGATTTCGTTTTCTTCTGTCAACATCCAATCTGCGTTTGCTGTGTCATGTACGTCACTTCCTTCTCCCTAGTCTCCTGGGAGTCAAAAAAGCGCAACATAGCACCCCTTGTCTCCATTTCGGTTGGTTCCGGAAAAATAGACGTGCATACACACATACATACATACATACATACATACATACACTCATTCATTCATTCATTCATTCATTCATTCATTCATTCATTCATTCAGTTGCCTTGCTTTTACCTTTGTTTTCCGCCGTGCTCTCTATTTCTATCAGTATCATTCTTTTGCTTCTTTCTTTTCATCTCAATTAAATTTGTTTCTCGTTATTTTTCTCAAAAAAGATATTTTTGTTTGTCTACTTAAATGTACTGAATTTTTATTTTCACTTCGTGTATGTTTATGAAGTGTTCATCTCAATTTATGTTCCATTGAATGGTCTATTTTTGTTTATATATATATCGAATGGTTCTCTACTAAAATCCCCAATTTGTATCTATATTTACAGTTATTAAAGTGTTTATTTCTCTTCATATCCACTTAATTGTTTGTTTGCATTTATTTTAATATTATATTGGTTCCTCTAATATTATCATCTAAAACTTTCACCATTTCATCTTTCTTAGTAACTACTTTACAACCGCAAGCGGTGGCTGTCTATATACCCGTACAGTGGTTTTACAGCGGCAAGCAGGGAGTACTAGTATCATCAAGCTCGAGGTTGATTCGTATTGCACGCTTGGGAGTCGCTGCTTTGCGTGCCACGCGCCAAGTATCGAGAGTGAAAGTTAGACGCTGGCCAGTCTCGTTTTTTTCTTGATGACTAATGTCCAGCGTTCTTTCTTTCTCGTGAGCAAGCAGGCCGATAGCAGCACTCACCAGCATCTGGTAAATGGCGTCGACGATGTTGTACATTTCTTCCCGCGTAATGTAGCCGTCGCTGTCTACATCGTACAGCCTGAAGGCCCCTGAAACACACAGCAACAAAACAACGCTGTCAGACGTAGATCATCGAGCTTAGTTACCCTTCATTACTGGAGCGAACGTAACGAGATAGTTAATTTAACACGCGCCGAACAGACGTAGCGTGACTGAGCCCCTATTGCATATATACCTGGCGTGCGTTTCCGTGCCTCAATAACATGGTCTCGTTATTGCCGAAAAAAAAAAAGAGGTAAAGGCAACCCAAAATAGCCTAGATGTACAAGTAACCAAGGTGATATATGGCACACGATGAAAGCTCGTTGCATCGCCGTTACGTTGGCCGCTAGGATTACCTAAGTATGCTGGGCGCTTGTTATTCTTAGTGCTGATTTTATGTCTATGTAAACAACTTTTTACGCAATCCAGGAAGTAGCGTGCCAACAAGGTAATTCTTATGAATGTATAATACGGTCACGATAAAAATAGTTAATGACTTCATACTGCCGTGCGCTTTTGTTTCTTGTGGGCATCCACTTATTCCTTTCTTCTTCCGTAATAAATTAGCTTTTTTTAGATTTTGATATTGCCTGCGCAGTCCAGGCTACTCCATTCGATTAGGGATCTATTCGCGTTCGTTCAAATTGTCCGACGCTATAACTTGGTTCATTCCCAGTGAAAGAGAAAGGTGAGGCGAGGGGATTTAAAGAAAACAAAAACGCTACTGCCGCCATGTTCAGTCACTTATCAGTTCTACTACAACTACTAAGCGGTGTTATGTATGAAGAAAGGGGGGAGAATAAGGTCAATTGTGGATGCGCACACTTATCAGTTCACTGAGCGTGTGCATGAAGGACGGCGGCCGCACAGGATTGGCTGGTTATAGAGATCGACAGCGTGACGTAACACCTAGCAACCGAGGTGCAGTGGGGGACAGCCGTGCTAGGGCATACTTAGGTAGCCGGCGATGCGCCGCGAGGCGTCCTGTACGGGTGGCCCAAGGCGGGTTAATATTTTGTGATGAGCCATCTGCAGACTTGCCCCGCAAAGAAGTAACGGAGAGGGAGAAGGGGGGGGGGGGGGGGTGTTCACACGCGCTCCAGTGATACATCCGCCATCCCCCACTGCGCGGCGCCGAAATTGGCGAAGGACGTCGCCGGTGATTTTCGGTTGCTAGGTGATACGTCACGGAATCGCTCACCATAACCAGCCAAACCAGTGCGGCCTCCATTGAAATGCGTCCTATCGGCAAGCCTCTTGAAATATGCACCCCTCCCCCCCTCACCATTTGTCGGCGCTTGCAGAAGATGTTTCTTTTACTCCGTTCACCGTTAAGCTGATGGCGAATTACACTGGGCGTTTTGGAGGGCGCCGGGATCAGTTGACCAGATCCGGAATGGAGCACACAATCCGAAGGGGGTCGCGCCGCCTGCGGATCTCCAGTGGAACATGACCACTGTTCCGGGATCGGCGGATGACTTCCAGTCATTCACCTGCCCGGTATAAAAGGCTCTGCCCGGGAATCCCCTTTCCGCGGCCGCCACGGTCGTTTCGATAACGTTTTCGCTAGAGTGCCTCAGTGCCCTTCTGTTTAGGCTGATGCCATCGTTTGTAGTACCCGATGCCGACAGCACGCGCTCACAGGTAAAATAGAAAGAAATCGCAGGAAACAAAATATCGCCGTAGCACAGTCAGCGCCACGAGCGCGTGCAGGGACACGCTCTTTCACGCGCTTCAGAACAAAAAATAAAAATAAGCGATCGAAACAAAATGGCCAGATGTCATCACCCTGCATCACCCCAAGCAAACCTTCTCTTCTTCTTCCTGGAAAACGAACCAGCTGTCGAGTCGAGGGGTAAGCAAGCGGCCATTACGAATTCTCCTGAGGCGAGATCAGGCGAGATGCCCCGCGAGAAAGGAAGTCACGTGTGTGCGCCGAGGGCTGGCCCGGCTAGCTTCCGGTTGAATCCTCCGGAATCCTCGGAGCGACTTTTCTCGGATCCAGATCGAAATCTGGAGCGGGAATTAAATCCAAAACGACCAGTGGAACACGTCCGTCTCGATCCCGATCGCCAAGTGAAATAGGCTCGCTCCTGAAAAGTCGATCCCGGCGCGCTCCAAAACCACCAGTGGAATTCGCCATGAGACTAGAAGCACCGCCTTCAGCGCGAGTTCGCTGGCTTCAGCAGTGATTGGGATGCGCGTGCCTGCGTGTTCAAACTTGTGTTGACAAGGGCGGAAAGCTCGCGCTGAAAGCGGAACTTCTAGACTTAGCCAGAACCGTGTATAGAAAGAGTTTGGTCAATGAGAGGCGCGGGCAGAGGCGCGAGCAGAGCCAGGGCGTGCACCAGACTCGGGAAGAGGGCTTGGCATGCTTTCTTGAGTCTTGACTAACCAGTAGCCGAAAAGAATCCTCTAGCGGTGGTAGTGAGAAACAGTTCTGATCAAAGGTCTTTGTTCGTATATGGTTTTAATAAACGCGTAAGAGTGAAGTGTAGTAACTCTTCGTGGTTGAAAATAGGGTGCACGTGATGTTTTGATCATGATCATGCAGACGGGTGTAAGAAACGGATGCGCCGCACAACTCTCTTTTGCTCAGTCAGAGTGTGACCGCTCGAAAGGCAAATTCCCGGCCCTCGGCGCTTGGCATAAGGATTATGTCGATCGTACCGCCAGTCGCACTCTTCCACTATCATTTTGGATGAGCGTGAATGCAACATCACATCTACCATATTTTCAGACACCGAGAATTACTCCGATGCACCTATCAAGTTTGTTTCTCGTGACCACCGCCAGGGTATTAGTGCAGCTTCTGGTTGGTCACATTCGAATTTGTGAAGACGCCCTGGAACACGCCCAGCCCGCTTTCGGCCAGTGGCGCCTGCTCATTTGTCTCCTATACTTCCCAACGAATGGCCAAATTGTCTACATATACGGCTCTGGTCTTAGCATAAGGGTGAAAGAAGTGTAGCCAGTTTTCGCAGCCGGTGGGGCTGTAACGCCATCCCGCGGCGACATGCAAACTTTATATACGACTGCACCAAACCAGTCACTCTCTCAAACCTGTCAAAGTTCAACGCATGTACCAGGGCACTAATTCTAACGCATTAAAACATCCCTTGACATCGGCAATAAGAAGCAACCGAAGTCGGTTTTACGTAGAAATGTACCTCAGGGCTACGAATAAAGTTGGGGGACACGGAACGTGCGACGTATTCTGAGCTGTTCTGGCTGCTTATATATGAGCTTTATTTCGAGCTTCGAAATCCCTTACATTCGACGGGCGAGACGAATTCTCGCCACGCTCTTGCGTAACGCTACGTTAATATCCTGGAATACAGATCCTCTGACGTTTTCATTCTTCGTTAAATAATATTGCTATCCTCAACAACTAACATATAACTCGACCACGTTGCTTCGCAACAGCGAATATACCTGCGTATACCGAGAACATAAGCCGACCTTGCCAGAGAAGGAAGACAATAGGTAACGCTGGAACGATGGAATATTATTATTATTATATATCTTGCTTTTTTGTTGAGACGGCTGAAAGATATGTACCAAACCATGGTGGGGCAGAAGATACCACAGTGGGGCAAAAAAACACCTGTAAAGTTGGTACATATTGATTAAAAGGTTAAAAGGTGCGAACCTTTTAATTGATTTAAAGGGTAAAAGGCGCTTGTCCGTGCCGTAAATGTGTCGTTTTCGTCCTGTTTTAGTTCGCGCCTTTCAGCCTTTTAATCGGTATGTACCAACTAGTCCCAACCAAAAAATTATTGCACCTTTATAGTTGCTGCCAGCTTTCTGAAAACGCAGGGCGTGGTTTCCTATATGTTCCCGCTTCTCGCTTTGTGAATGGTTCTTTCGGGTTCTGATCAGCCGATACCGCGATCTATGATAGGCTGCGAAGTGACAAACTAAGATGCTCGGAACTAGAACTTTGACGTCCTTATATTGATATCGAGCGTAGCTATACCACCTAGAAGGCAAGGCCAATGCATGACGCCATCGTTAGTGAATCCCCGCCCGACCTGCCCCAAGCGGCAAACACGCTGAAGCTCGGCGAGAGCCGCCGCAAGTCCGTAGCGTCGCTGCGTCCAATGCGGAAAACAAGCCGTCTGCCACTTGCTCAGGAGTTGCGTTGACTTCAGAACGACGCCGAGCTCGAATTGGTTTTGATTAAAATGATAGTGCACAGACCTTAATGTTAGGTGCCTCTAGGTCTAACCACTATTTTTTTTTTTTTAAATCAGCCAATAAGAACTCGGCGTTCTGACGTCACGCAACCTTTGTGCAAAAAGCAGACGAACTTGCGCTCCGCATAGTATCGCGTTCGTTGTGAGACGCTGGAAGAAGCGCTGTCGACAACTAGGTTGTTTAAGACTAACGTATACGCAATTTTATTGTACCCTAGCGTTAGATTTAGCTATTGCTTTAGTGCATGCTATACGCAAGACGGTTTTAGAATGGCGTTTCTCCACCTCGACGCAACAGCTCAAGTACCTCGCGCACTATTACGCATACGCACTACGCCCACCGTCGGCCGGCGCAGCAACATGTGTGACGTTGCAGCGTCCTCTTCGAGGAGTAACCAACCCGGCGAGAACGGTGTTGGCATGCCGCGTGTCGCGCACTATTTACAAATACACCGCATGGCTCGGGCCCAAGGGTTGAGTTGGTGCCATACCTTGGGCCTAGTGAAATAAAGTTAAGTGTCAATAAAAAAAAAAAAAATGTTCAAGGTTTTGATTATTCTAGGTGGTGTTGGCAGTGTGAAAGCGGTCGACATCTCCCTTGTTAATGCGAAAGCAGTAACTGTCCTTTGGAGCGACGCCGGCGTTTTCTGTAGTAGCGAAAACGGCACCTGAATTCCCAGTGGCCAAAAGCACAGGAACGCAGATGCTTCGTCACAGAAGCCGGTGGTGCGCTCAATAGGAAGTTTTAGAATAACGTACGCAATTTTAGAGCACGCTAGCGCTAAATTTAGCGCTTGTATTAGCGCACGCGGCGCAAGAGAGTTTTAGAATAGCGTTTCTCCGTCGCGACGCAAAAGCCCAAGTATCTCGCGCTAGCGACGCCACCAAGATACAGTAACAATTTTTATTTCACACAGGAAATGCTGTAACTTTAGAAAAAAAGCAAGTTTTTGGTCCAGAGTAGCATTTGAGATTTGTTTAAACATAAGAATGCGACGCCTGCGGTTGACCGATCGTGTCCGCTTGCGTCGCCTCGGCAAGAGAGGTCTAGTGTATTGACCTTCGCACATCGTATCTTCGCCAAGAAATGTTCGCGCGTCTCAAGCATCAAGTTGCCGGTGATCGTTGCCAAATCGAGTACAATGTCGTCCGTATTGAAAATCGCAGTCGCGAGGATGCCGCCGACGTCGCACTCACGACGCCGCCAAAGCAAGCCGCCGACTAGCCACCATACGCCACAATAATCCTGGAAGCCGCCATTTTTTTTTTTAACTCTGCTCGTCTTGGCTTTAGCCAACTTGTCATCACGAATCCTCCTTGGAGAAGCGCAAAGCATAGGCGCAAAGACTCTTGGCGTAAACTCGCTATTTCTGAGAAATAGCGCACGCTAAAATTGCGCACGCAAAGCGCAAAGCCTGATTTGCGTTCGGAGCATGCGCAGTGGCAACGACGCTATTCTTTGCGTACGCAGAGCTTTAGCTTGCGCTATTCTAAAATTCCATAATGTCGACGCGAACGTGCCTCAGAAATAAAACAGAAAGAAAAGCACAGCAAGGCAGATGCATCGTCACGAAAGAGGTGGAGTCGGCGGGGGGTGCTGCGCTTGCGCAGCGGGGGAGTGTGATTTCACCGCCGGAGCGCCGTGTGAAAAGGGAGGACGTGGCGTGCTGCTCGTAGGAATGCGGTGCATGCAGGAATGCTTTCGTATTCCTACACGCAAGCGATCTTAAGTGTCTTCGTTTATTTGTTTTTGTTTCACCTCTTAATTGTAGGTATCGCTGAACAAAAAACCTTAGAAAATCGGGAAATAAAAGTTTCTTTTTACAGATTAACTTTAAAGAAACCCATAAGGCCTAAATGTTTGGTCAAGGCTGAATACAAATTGGGCACCGCAATGTGCCGGTCGCTACACCGGTCGGTTCCACCAACTTGTTTTTTGTTGTTGTTGTTTTGTTTTTTTGTTTTTTCATACAAGATATTTAAAGCAATGCTTACTGTAACAAAATTTACTAAAAAAAAAAAACGTACTTTATGATGTTTAGAAGCAGCAAATTGTTTTGAGCTACCGATCGGCGGGGCGATGCAGGTTTGAGATTTAACGTGGCGACATGTAGCAGAAGAAAGAAAAAAAGAAGAAAAAACGCTACTATCAGCCCACAAACTGGGTATCGTCAGGTGCGTTAGTCGTCACGTTATATAAAAAAGACAGCAAATAGTTTAAGGAAGTCTGGGACGAGAAAGAGAAGAGAAGACGACTCACAGTCTAGTTTTTCTTCTACGTTGCCCCTCGACGTCACCGAGAGTGCCCGGATGAACTCTTCGAACTCAATCGCACCATCCTGAAAATAAAAATACAGCAGAAAATAGATCACTTGCATTTGAGGCACTTTTTGCTTTCCTGGCACGAGTTGCCTTGCTGCCCTATCACTTTTTCCGGTGCAATCTGAGTGCTTCAGTGCAATCAAATCCCCTCGCATCAATATGGATCGCGTCGTTTTAGCTTATCTTAACGACCGTCTTTATACCGAAGGCAGAGGTAAAAGCACTCATTATGATGAACGAAAAAACTCCAGAAAGAAATCCGGTGCTTGCACGCTACAAAATTGCAAGTGCTTGTAGCGAGTGGCAAATTGCAACGTTTTGAGTATCTCTGGCTTTTGACTCTGGTCAAAAGTTTTGGGCGATTAAATCCTGTGACTAATTATCTGCTTATTCCTCTGTATTTCTCTCTCTTCCTCCTTCTCTCCCTCCCTCCCCCATCTCTCTCTCTCTCTCTTTCCATCTTTTTTTACCGTTTTATATTTCCATTTATCTTTATTAGTATCCTTTCTGCATTTTCTTTCTGTCTCCTCATATTTCTTTATCTCCTAATTTCTTGCTGTCCATATATTGGTATCTATTTGAAAAGGAAAGTAAACAGTAGCAAAGTGAAGATACATAAAGCAGTAAACAGGTGTTCGCAGACTGCTTGTCTTACTCATGGGAAAAAACATCGAACATTGAAAGTTATCCACGCGCGAACAATTTCAATCGCAAGGAATAGCTTTTCTTTTTTTTTCTTTTTTTTTTTAATGCGAAAGCATTAACTGTCTCATGGAGCGAGCCGACGTCATCAGGTTTAAAACCGCGTCAAACGGCTTTCAAATCCTTCTCGCCACCTCCCAGCTATGAATTCATGTCCAAAGCTAGCCAACGGCACCTTTTAAGGTCCGTTCACACTCTTGTAACCGAGTACGATCGAGAGAGACCAGACCGGTTTTTAAGCCTCTTGCGACCTCTTAGGACCAGCTCCGCTGCAGCGCATCCGGTCCTAAAAGGTCGCAAGATGCTTAAAAACCGGTCTGGTCTCTCTTGGTCTAACTCGGTTGCAAGAGTGTGAACGGGCCTTTACACTTTGGTTCCATTGGCCAGCGCACGTCGACGAGGCTCCCAAGGGCCGGACACGCAGCGCCATAGGGTGGCCGGTCGTTGAAACTGACGCTTCGCGTCAGTTTCGCCTACCGCCGACACGTTGGCGCGCGCTCGGCGGCTTCTGCTCGTATCGTCGCCGACGACCATGCCGCCGCCTCCAGCAACCACATCGTCGGCGGTGCTCCTGCTCGTCTGGACACCGACGAAATGTCGCCGCCTCAGACATCCACACGAAAAAGGGAGCGGACGAGTGGCTTGTATGCTTTCGCTTTCACAACTCATAAGAAGTGCTTAGGCGTAGCTTGGGCTTTTTATCGAAACATTTTAGTTATTAGAAACTAGCGACTAACTGCGTTGTTTTCTTTACACTTGCGATCTTATAACGGCGACAATAATACTATCGACTCGCCGCTAAAAAAGGAAGAAAAGTGACTTCGAAGTAGATGCTTCACGTAAAATGTTAAAAAGCGCGCACTGAAACAGGATCAAAATAAGAAACGCGTACGACAAGGGGGGTCCAAGTGTGCTATGAACCACCCCAATGACTCTAGAGATTCGCAAATTAAGTAAAATACTATGTTTGTTGCGTTAAAGAACACAAAAATAACCTTACCTAATGTGCGCCCATCTCAAGCCATTAGAGGAAAGAGGGGGGGGGGGGGGGAGCATTGCATGCTCCACTCCCCCCCTCCCCATTTCACTGTACCCGCCTATGCTTACAACCGGTTTCATTTAAGAAACAGTCACTCAGCCTGTGTGTCGTTCATCATACAGATAAACAAGCCATTTCATTCGCTTGATTTCTTATCGTTCCCGTCAGTTATAAAGCAAATATGTTTTTGATCCAGCTACAACAGTTATACGGTGCGCTAAAAACGACCGGATTGTAAAAGTTAAATGTAATTGGGAAAATAAAAAAAAAATTATGCGGACTTTAGTCTGTAATCGACGGTGCTTTCATCTCTTGGGTGCCTTCACATTTTTTTTTTTAAGTTACCGTTACATGCATACATTAAGGCGCACTCAATCCGGGCAGGTGTGAATAGTGTCAAAAATACGCAGTCGGTCGCAGGGCAGGTGGGGCCACGGCTTACTAATGAACTTGAATCTATACTCCGGTGGCACGGGAGGGTAATTACCGAAGCGGGGCTCATAATGATATTATTATGGGACCGACCCTTAAGGCCAGACGTTAGGAAATCGACACGTGCGTGTTTCAGTGTGCCATTAGCCGAAGACGGATGAAAGCTTTTAGAGTGCAATCCTTAGGCGAAAGCTGACAGAAAATGGCGTGCTCGCGGTACTGCACCTGAATCGCTAGCATTTGATTATTCCGAACACAACAGCGCCTCAATCAAGAAGTAAAAATATATGACAATGATGAATCGTTGGCTTCAATAGTTTTTCTGGGGATCGATATAGACTAGGCCAGACTAACTGAGAAATCAATAGTGATGTCTTTTTTTTTTAATGCATACCCCGAATTACTTAGATTTGATAATAACATGTATTCACCTCTTGGCATAGAAATAATCATTGTAGTTCTAAAATAAAAGCACTGGTTAGTAGGAGGAGGGTTAATAATACGCGTGCTGTTCGAATAGTTGTTTTTATTAAACAATGTTATTGAATATTTTAAATTATGGGTATTAAAAAACATACGTTGATCGCTTTTTAATATCTATGGTAATTCATTGTCATCGCTTTAGTGTAGGCCCGAAAACATGAAACGCCGTCGTTTATTGATTTCGTCAAAATGAATATATCGCTGCGGTTTCTTTCAGCCATAATGAAACACTAAAGTGGATTTTGGAATTATGTTTTTTATGGTGAAAATTTAATCTACGCGCCCTTAGCGCACTATAAAATTGCAAATTAAAATCATGCGTGATCTTTCTGTTTATCGAAACGCGGCCAAATATCGCGTTAAACCCCTTTTCTGAGATGGATCTCTCCCAAGAAGAAGGGGCGTGTCGCGATGTTTAATCGCGTTTTTTACCCAACAAAGAAAAACAACGTATATAATTATAATTTTGCTTTTTTTGTGCTTAGGGCACCGGAATTCATTCTGCGCCATTAAAAATATCTTAAAAGCCATTTTGAGCCCTTTAACGTACACTAAAAGTGAATTTCAATTTTGCCGTAAGATCTCGCATTGAAGTGGCGTGCTCCGCTGCAATATGGGTGATAGTGCAGGAAAGCACGCTTTACGAAGCGGACCACCCGTTTCCGACTCTTTAGAAATTGCCGCCGCGGAAGCAGTCGTGACGGCGGATGAAATCCTAAAATGACCGCACTCTGAAACTAGACTTTGAGTTCACTTTCTCGCAGAACACATAGACAACCAATCGGGACGAACAATAGAAGGATCCCAGCGAATGACGAAGCTCATAATACGGTTCGATCTAAAAAAAATTCTATGCTAAAAGTGAGAACGAACACGAAATAGCCATTTCGCGTTCAATATAAACATGTATAACGTAACCACTTTGACATTTGCAAAACAAAATATATATATAGAAAACTTGGTTTTTTGTAGACAACGAGTCAAAAAAGTTGATAAAATTCAGTTTTATAGCGATTTCTTCTATCTGATATGTCAAGGCGTAGTGGTCTCTTTCTGTAAAGTACGCCCTCTCGAAAATGTATCTAATAGAATTCACTTTCCCGCAAAACACGTGTAAGATTCCCATCGCAGTGAACAATATAACAGTCCCGGCAAATAGAAAAACTCAGAGGATAGCTAGATCTAAAAAAAAAACACAGAAAAAATGAAAGCCGTTTACAACTCCCTGTAACACCGAATTGGAGCGCAGCTCCTGAAAAGGAGGAGGGAAAGGTACTGAGGGTTACCTGTTCTCGGGGCGGGGGGGGGGGGGGGGGGGGATCATGTGACCTTGGGGGGTCACGTGACCCCCCAGAAAATTTTTTCCGCTAGATTTAGTGGGGAATTTTTTCCGCTAGATTTTTCCGCTAGACTTAGCGGGAAAATTTTTCCGCTAGATTTAGCGGGGAATTTTTTCCGCTAAATCTAGCGGGGAACTTTTCCGCTAGATTTCGGGGGGAAATTTTCCCGCTAGATTTAGCGGGGAAATTTTTCCGTTAGATTCAGCGGGGAATATTTTCCGCTAGATTTAGCGGGGAAGTTTTTCTGCTAGATTTAGCGGGGAATTTTTCCCGCGATTTTTCCGCTAGATTTAGCGGGAAAATTTTTCCGCTAGATTCAGCGGGGAATTTTTTCCGCTAAATCTAGCGGGGAAAATTTTTCCGCTAGATTTAACGGACAAAATTCCCCGCTAAATCTAGCGAAAAATTTTTCCGCTAGATTTACCCATAATGCACCTCGCGGTTACGCCGACGGCGACGGCGACGGCGACGCCGACGCCGCTCAAGCCGGAAACCGGCCCCTAAGAGCTGCGCTCTAAAACTAGATGCGCGCAGAGACGATTAGGATGACGTTCACTTTCCTCATCACATCGTATTTTTCCAATATAATCATTTTCTCCGCTGGGTCAGTCACTGATATCATTCTAGTGTTTGCTTCGATTGGCTGTCTCAGTGTCCTGCAAAAACGTAAAGTCACGAGTCTTTTCTTCTTCTTTTTCTTTTCTTTTTATATTATTCTTTTAGAATGCAAGGTGTAAAAAACAAATTACAACGGTTTTTTTTTTTTTTTGACCGACAAATTTGATTCACATTGCCGGACCCTCTTTTTCCGCCCAAACGTAGCGCCCTATAAACCGGACCGGTTTGTGCGCGGAATAACCCAATCCCGAAACACTTGTGTCAAAATCCCCGCTGCAAATTCCCCGCGTTATTTCCCCCGTCCTCAAAATCCCAGGCTTTCAAAACCCCTCTTGCCCTTATCCCCTTATCAGTTCCCCCTGCTTTTCCCCGAAGCCTTGTTACGGGACGAAGGACAAAACGG